GGAAAAACATTTCAGTCTTCTGCTAATTACCCATACTTCCCTCACATCCTCTCTCACTGCAGACGATCCTACATCACGTTGCTGCGGAGAGACAGCCACAATCAATAGCCAATTCTCCAGATCAACTGCTCCTCAGAGGAGAATATGGATCCGGTCCAAGACCTTTCCTCAGACAGACCACCAAAGGAGGTCGAGCTGTCCTACCGACAGACGTCCTGTGATGAAACCGCTGCTGTGGTCTCCATCACTGACCAGCTGACACTTCACAAAATATTCAAAGCAAATCTTATTTATAATAACTCTGTTAAAAACTGGCTTTTTATTTTCAGTCATTTCTAGGCAAGTAGGTAGGTAGGTATATTTTATTGGTCTCCAGGGGGAAATGTCTTTAAAAAACTCAGATGCTGCATCTGTTGTTGTTACAGAGAGACATACATTGCTGAACACAAAAAAACAACAAAAACCAATAGATGCGGATCGGGGCCATGTCTGACGTAAAGGAGGAACTTTCTGGAATCCCAGAAATCACTTTCAAAGGTCAAGGGCGGGCAAATGCACTCTCTGCATCTTTGAGTGGCCTGAGTGCATATCCTGGAAATATACAGGATCAGAGAGTCATGCAAGGCTTGGGGGGGGGGGGGGTCTGTAATGTTTTATAGTTAAGCCCCAAAGCAGGTGCATTATGTGATCTTTTTCACAGACAAAATGGATTATACAGTAATGAAGGAGGATGCTTGCCTGCAGGGGGGGGGGGGGGGGGGGGTGGGTTGGCAGAGTGAGGGCACAGGAAGAGCCTCAGAAATCCTACATCCTGCTCTCCACTGTTACTGTATCTGCACCGCGGCCCAGAGAAGCTTCCTGGAGCCGCGTTAGAACCCCACCCAGAATGCTCTCATCCCATTTCGGGAATCTCGCTCCGTGTGGACCTCAGATCCAGACAGACATGCGAAGGTATTTGTCTCTCTAGGTGTCAGTCTCAGTCCTGGAGGAGAAGCTACTCCTTGCCAGAGAATAATCAAGAAAAACTAATCACAAAACAAAAAATGAAAAAGTGTTTAATTAGTGTCACGGGCACATGCCATGTGACTGTGACATGTAGCGGTGACAAGGGAGGGGGAAACATTAGCGGTATTGCTAATCAGGAAGGAGCTCCATCTTACAGCGGTGTCTGAGGCCTTCCCAGCTCTGTGCATTTCCCCGCAAGACGCCTGCAATAAACGAAGAAAACACGGCGCTGGCAAACTCCAGCTGTCGGCTGGAACTCTGAGCGCCTGTCATCCTCAACGTCAGGCAGAACTTCAGCCCGGCTTCTGCGCAGAAACTACACTGTGCACACTACACTCTCCGGTGTAACATCTCGGGAAGTGAGATTTCATCAGCAAATCCCTCCTGCCTCGTCCATCACTCCGAACATCTTTCATTCCCCATCACATCTTTTCTGAACCGAATATGACAGGTAGTCACACAGGTAAAGACTTGACCCACTTCGGCCGTGACAGCATGGATTTTCTTTGACGTGAACATGGGAACTGTGGCACATACTGGACCTAATGAGCTTGTACTGACCCAGGAGCCGTAAGAAATCAGAAGCTATAGTGGGGCAACCTACCATGCATGTCGTTGACCTCCTCCTTTCCCCCGACCCTCTCCCACCCCCCCTCTTTCACCTGTTCCTCCTTCACCCCCTTTTCTTCCACAAAATCAGCACAGCACCAGAGCCATACCAAGGGACAGGGGGGGCGCTGCTGCTTCACTGCCCGCTGGTTTCATCATCCATCTCTGGCCTTTACCTCCACCTGACTGATGTCACGACGCGTTCAGTTCGGCAGAGACTTTCGAGCGTTGCGAGAGGAGCCAGCGAAGGGGGTCCCGTGACAGAGCCCCCACAGAACAGCCCTCACCCAAAAGCTGGAACGTACTGTGAAAAAAATGAATGGAATAATAAGACCAAAATCATCAAGTAAAAATGAGTAAATATACAGCATATGTGAGCAAGTGACTGTGACTTGCTATTATTATCCCAAATAGTCGTCACTGCAGCAAATCAGCGGCCCTGGTCCCATGGTAACATCTAACCTCCATCGAAGCTCTCCAGAGAAGGGTGTTTATAGTGACTCACTTTGAGTTTTTCAGATAGAGCCGAAATCGGGATGCAAACTGTAACCGGGACTGCTAAATATTCATTTTCAGGCACCTTCATTGGCAAGTCATCTGTTTTTTTGAAGTCTGATGTCATGTTGCATTCTTGATGGAGCGATTCAGAAGACAATGGGGAGATTGACCAAGTTTGGGCGAGAGTCTGCACTCAGAGGAAGAGGAGTTACATGCAGCTCTGCCCCACCTGCCGTCTTTGATGGTGCTGGCTGGTCCCTGAACACAGAACAAATTTGCATTCACTTTGGCAATTAAGTGGCAGTAATGAAGTGACTGCAAGGTAAGGACCTTTTCGGTGACACTCAGGGACACAAGCAGCATGAGCCAGGCGATTATCTACATCGAAGCTGTTTTTGATGGGGTGTGTGTGTGTGGTCCAGGTATACCTTACCTTGTGGGGACCAAATGTCCCCAAAACGTGATGAATACCCATTTTTTTTTACCTTATGGGTATTAGTTTCCTGGTACCCATATGGGAAAACTCTATTTTTTTTAAATCCAATGAAAAAACTAAAAACGCAAAAAAACTCGTATTTTATTTGGTTACTTATGGTTATGGTTGGGGCTGAGTAGGGGTTTGGGTTGTCATAGTTAGCATTAGCATTTTACCTATAGAAATGAATGAGCGGTCCCCAAAAATGTATCATTACACATCCGTCTGTCTGTCTGCATGTCTGTCTGCATGTCTGTCTGTGTGTGTGTGTGTGTGTGTGTGTGTAAGAAAGTAAGCATGTTTGAATGTTCCTGCGGCTGGCTGGTTTGAGTCCCAGGGTCGGCAGTGTGATGTCACCATTGGGCCCCTTAGAAGGCCCTTAACTCCCAATTGCTCCAAGTACTCTCTAGCCCTTCTTTCTCAATTAACATTGCTCTGGCAACCCCAAAATAAATAACATGTAATGTTCCTTTAGAATAAACAACGACCTGTCACCTGTGGTATCTACAGGGCGGCAACTGTCTGCAAAGTCTATTCTGCTTATTACAGCGCATGATTAATACAGCCAAAGTGTCATGCAGATTACGGAGATGTCAGGGTGTAACAGAGTAAAGTGCCAAACGAGAACCTCACTACACTCTCCACTGGCAACAAAAAACCAGCAGGGGGCTGTCATGAGAACGAGGCAGCTTTTACACCGCAAGCGGATCCGCACCAGCTGATTGGTCATCGTGTCGCTCGGTCCCTCCACAGTCAATGACACGAGAGGTTTAAGGGTTCGTTTAAATCTTCAAGTTGGCATCAGCGGTATGAAGACTCCGTTTTTCTGGCTGTTATTCATCTTGACAGGTAGTGACACAACTGAAGTTAGGTCTCAGAAAACATCCACTCCAGAATATATCAGAATATATATTCAAAACAGTTCACTGACTGCAATGAAAATTTCATTATAGAGCTGTACAGAACAGTGGTCAGTGTTTAGAAGAGGCCATGATGTAGAGGTGTGGAAATAAATGATCAAAGGCCAAATAAATATTTAATATTGAGCCTCGATTGTTTCAAGCAAAAATATATATATATTAAATAGATAAAAGTTGTTAGGCAACTACATAAAATTCCCACCCGCAAAGACGAAGACACAAAAAACAGAAGAATCAGTTGGATTCGAACCCTTCAAATGGAGCTAGTGCGTATTGCTTCCCAAGCTACCTCCCTAAGTCTCCCAGCGTCAATAACGGTATTACGTCGCGATTACACGATGCACCATCTCACCTCATCAGCTAGAAAGAAGAAACGCAAAAGATGTCAATCATCACGGAGAAGGATCACGTGATGCGCCATTCAGAAATGCAAGTCTCTAATGGGCAAACTGCGGGAGAGGCTGTCTGTGCCTCATTATTCACTTGTCATCAGATATTTCATCTCTACCCCAAGAACCAGTGTTCACAACACTGTCATTTCTCGAGATAAAATTAAAAAAACGGATTTGTTGATCTTAAAAGTTTGCATAAGATTGTTTAAGTAAAAGGCAATGCTGCCTTTGCATTAAGACAGTAAGGAGGAAATGTGCCGCGCGCATCCAGCACTTCCCGACGGGACAGCGCGCTATTCCCACAACCCACAAACTGTTGACAAACCAAAGGCAGATTAAGGAGATAAACCTCACCAGAGAGCTGATCTGTGTCCAGGTTTTGTAGGTGAATCCCGGTTCATGCTCACAGTGGCGGTGGGACTGAACAGACCCGGCATCGCTTTTAATGCAACGAATCTGTATAGTTTTTCATTAGGATAAGTGATGCACTCACAAGCCGTTGTTTTACGTAACAGACGGAAAAATGTAAAATTGGTACTGGAAAATCAAATAGCACAATTTCCCTCAATATCATACTAAAATAATTACGACGTTAAAATAAAATAAAAAACCCCAATGAAACCAAAGCAATATGAAACACTTCTCTTGTACTGCTGACCACACTTAAATCCAAGTATAGGCTAATCACATATTTTTTAATTATTTGATAATGTAATTCATGGATCGATAATAACGCTTTACTCGTAATACTTCCTTTAGTGCATTCACGCTGATTTAGTTATTAAAATAGTGTATAATCAACTCAATAAGAGTTATAAAGACAATGAGAGTCAATACTGATTATCAGTGCGGATCTGCATGTTTCATATACTTAATATCATAGAGAAACGCAAAGGCATGCAAGATTTAAAATACACTGGAGAAGCAATCGTTTAATTAAAGGTTTCACTACCTGCAAAAGGTACATACATTTAAATTTTAAAAGAACTATCCTCGCATCGCTTTCAAAAGCTGCAATCAAAACAAGTCTTTTTACTTTTAGCGGGCGCTGAAAAAATATATAGGCAAGTATTTTTCACACGACAGACAACATGTACTTACTCAACTGCAGTGCAACAGGCATGAGGAGGACAGCGCAGTTTGCGTGGGGTCTCATACTTTATAATCCGACCGGGAAACAGCTGGACCCGGAGAGCCTTGGCGAAGGAGCGGGCGGTGTAGAGGTAAGCGGAGCGCAGTGCTCTGCACCTGGCCGCTTCCGCAGAAATGGGGCAGCACGCAGCATCCCGGATAAATAAGCCAGGCGGAGCCAGCGAGCAAAGGGGGCGAGGAGGAGCGGAAACCACCGAAGCGCCGGGGACCCGAGATCTTCGAAGAAATGCGGCCAGTCGCTGCTATAATACCGTATATCTCAGACTCAGTCTGGACTTCTCGGCGGCATGCAACATCACGCAATCCCAGCGTGTTTCTTATACATCAGTGTATCTTGTATAAAATTTAATTCAGTCCTTCGAGGGACACAGAATAGTCAAACTATTTTTCGCAAACCTAATCTAAATGTACGAGGGAAAACGACGTGTACATCTTGTAAAACTTTACTGTAGTTACACACCATTGACTGAAATTCGTGTCACGATGTTTTTCGTTGTATTGTTCGTCTCAGCAGTATTCTTTAAGGCAGGAGATCTCTGTATCAATATGTTGTTGTCCATTTACAACGGTGGTTTGAAGATACGGGGTTCGATCGGGACATGCAGCTGACTATTCACGCGATGATAAAAGTTGTTTCCAAAAACGCTCAGACCGAGATTCTTCCCAAGCAATTTAAAATCTCTATATATACGTTTCATTATTTACTGGGAAAATATGGAGGCGGCGGGAATCACACATACACAACCCATTTTAACCAAAACACAAACTAAACCACTTTATTGAACTTTATATGACCCAAAACGTCAAAGCTAAGGTAAAACGAACAACTGTAAAATGTACAAACAAAATAATGCACACGGAACATAAAATTCTTTTTTAACACAATGGAAAAGTACAAATGATCTTTTTTTCTTACACAACAGCTCAAGCCGTATGATTTTTGCAAAATATATCTATACATATGTTATACATGGAGGCATCCTTGAGACATTCACAGATTTCCCCGGCGCCAGAATAGATATAAAAGTATTTTTCCTGGAGTTCCATAAGAGTAACCCACATCAATGTTAAAGATAACCATTTTAAACAGACTTATTCCTCTAAAATGAAAAGGCTTCCTACTCAGTTGGACAAAATAAAACATTGCAGTGTTTCGATATGACATTTTTCTTACATACCAAAAATGGAAGATTACGCTGGCTAACGTAGAATTAGAAAAGCTATTAAACAGTAGGGTACTATTACTGGAACTAAGACTAGAAAACTACAAACAGAGGGGGAATAAGGTGGATTTCAGAGCGTGCTCTGTAGTAACACAGGCAGCACAAATGAACATCTATGCCTCCAAGAATCTTTAGTAAGATGAAGGTGGATGAGACACATTTATAGCACTAGGGGGCGCCGCTAAAAACCCAGGACCATAACCAAGCAAGAGCTAAACCTTTAACACCATACAGAATGCCTGGACCCACATCTCTGTCCACAAAGAGGTTTCCATAGTCCTTCTTCTGGGGATACGAGCGGTGGTTGGGAGAGGAGCCGTCTGCTTTCATTTCCATTCTATCACAAGTCAGGCCACTAGATTAGTGATTAACATACAGGCACTAAACAAACCTATAGTAACAGCCAATGGCAGGCTTTTTCATTTTTTAAACATGGAAGCCTTTTTTTCCTCAAAGCGCTTGCAGTATCTTGGCCTCTAAGGTAGGGCTGTAGTTACTAAAAAGGAATGATTAAAAAGGATAACTAGACAAAAAATAATAAATAAATTGTTGGGAGTACAGCAGAAATACGGACAATGGCTTCCAGCATCCAAACTATCAAAAATTCCTCTGCACCCTTACTCCACCTGACCCCTATGGAGAGAGACGGGGCAGTTCTCTGTCCAATCAGAAATGTGAGCCATGACTGCGTGGCTTCTCCCCTATCTACAAAGGAACACAGCTGACCGGCTGCTCACCCACAAGGGGCTGACATGCTCTCCACTGTCAATGTGTTGGATTCCCATTTTTCCTTGGTTTTCACAACCCTGAGGTCGACCTGCTGTATATATCCACATTTAGTAAGGCACTAGAAATGTTGCACTTTGGATTTAGGAAGTAGAGTTTAGTCGGCCCCTTAAAGACAATATCTCACTGACTCCCTATCACCAGCGAGCAACTGACAGAACATCAAGCACCGAATCGAAGATGTCAGAGAAGCTCTCTCCACCACCTTGCTCGTTTTAAACCTCAAATTTGTTTTTGTAAATATCTGGAGCCCGCAAAATTGGCAAAGCCCAGCGAGACTGAAACAAGATTTGACAGCGGCTGAAATATTAATAAACATACAACTGCCTTTTCAGGACAGGACATTAAAAGCAAGAGGTTTTTAGAATAAATTTTCAAACTATATCAAATACTGGTTGTAAAAGATGTTTACAGCAACTTAAGCTTACAAGTATAATTGAGGAATTATTCAGCAATGATTCTGGGGGATAGAACTGGGGGTTCTGGGACCTTGAAGTTTTACTGAAAATGTGTACAAATACAAAACGACCACCTCATTTTTCACCTGGCAGCAATCGGTAGAAGAAAATCAAGAAAGCTATTTTTTGGTAGGATAGTAATACCTTCCTGCGTCCTCCAATAAAAGCCTGTCTTTAAGCCTCCAAAGGTTTATAAACCACTCTGTGTGACCAGGTGACAGTCTCCCAGACGCTGTAGCTATTCCCAGAGAGAGACGCTACCCCCGAAAGGAAATGGAACAACATGCTTTGCTGTGCAGGTACCTCACTCTCTGTTCCTTCTGCTTTCTTGAGAAAAGCTGCTTAACTAAGTACTGGGTACACAGAAGAGAGCAGAGGAACCTTCTTGAGAACTGAGCTCTTCAGTTGATTCCAGGGAGCGGGGTGGGGAAAAAAAAAAGCTGACCTTGTACGATCTCACCCTGCGCGTTCTTTCCACTCTATTTTTGGGTTACAAAAAAGTGCAAAAAAAACAAAAAAAAAAAACAAACAAGAGCGAGTGAACAGGCAGAAACCTGAATATTTAAAAGTGGGGGTGTGCATGAGATCTCTCTGGTTGCAGAAGCCCCTCTGGTCACTGTGCGCGGCAACGTTTTCCACAAAACAAAGATCGTCCACAGTAGGGATGAAAGAGGAAGGGATGTCAAAAGCAAGATTTTCCCGAAATGCTCATGGGAGATGAAGTCTAACGGTAAATGAGTCTCACAGCCCCTAATTATGGACTACACTTTCCATCAGCACTTAACAGTCTACAGGAACTTGATAAAATGCATGCCAGGTGTGGAAGCGGTAAAGGGTCAGGCAGCAGCAGGGCCCTACTGGGTGACCAGGCCCTGCAGCATCATCATCAGGCGCCGTGCCCGTTTGCTGAGCGGGCTGTGCGGGTCCAGCTGCAGGAACTGGAACAGCTTCTGTCGCACCTGCGTCAGCACAGAGCTCATGTGGTCCCGGGTCACAGGGTCGCTGTGGTCCAGGTTCATCACCGCGTCCTCGAGGTAACTGCAAGAACGGGCACGTTAAACGCCGACAGCCCACAGAGCGAATCTGCAGCTACCGTTCACGTGAATTAGGCCACAGGATTGTAATTCGGGCCACGCAGACCAGGCCAACGGCAGATGGCGAGGCCCGGCAGCTTAAGCCGCTCACTGCAATTCCACATCTGCGCTCCAATCAAATACATTTATATCAGATCTGTTAATTCTCTAACTGTAGCATTAAGATTCCCCGGCGCAGTGAAACGACACGCAGTTATTTTCGGACACAGCAGAACCCGAATCTTTACAGCACACAAATCACATTTCTGCATGTGATATATGGGGTTTATATGAAAGTAAAGACCATGACTCTGTAGGCACATACACGTGCCTGACGGACAAAAGGTCACACCCGTGTTTGTGCCCGCATAAGTACACACACACAGGTGACAGGCCCTACCTAATCTTCAGCTCGGAGCGGGTCGTCAGGTTGGTGGACAGCTGCTGGATGAGCGAGAGCAGGACGGGCTGGATGAGCGGACAGGGGTGCTGGCTGAACACCTGCTGGGAGTCGATGGTCTCGCACACGTACAGCACCAAGTTCAGGTCAGCTGCCGACAGGGCCTGCAGTGCAGGGAGAGCGAAGCCGGGCCACGAGCTCAGTACGGCTGACGGGGGTCCACTGTTCCCCCCACAGAGCCACCCAGACGCTCTGCTGCAGAGAAGCTGACACAGTCGCCGGTATGCCTTTACACCCTCATCTCACAAGCGCCGTTATATTTATCTAAGGTCGCGAGGGCCCCGACTCGCACACGGAATGAAGGAGCATCGTTACAGAAAAGCACACAGACGGCACTTTTCCTAAGAGCCACTGGGTAGCAGTGAGATCGCAGCTGTACCTCAAGGTCACCGCTCAGCGCTGGCGCTCTCAGATATCCACACGGAATCGACCGGAAGCCCTTTTAGGCACCGAACGGCGAAAGACGAAAAAACCGACACAAATCACAGAGAGACGCCAGACGAGCATAGGCCTGGGTAAATGTCTGACCCACAGTTTACGAGCAACATCCGTCCCATTAGGAGCAGAATCGTGCATCAGTCCCAGACACGTGGAGGAACCTTGATGGGTCTGACCAAAAGCTGAAACCTTCAGAGAACAGAGAGATGTTTCCAGCATAACAAGGCCCACCCCCAAAATGAGAAGGACCCCTTCAACCCATCTGAAGGTCATGCAAATCAGCCAAAAGTCCCCCTCCTAAATCCTCCAGCCCCCCCTCTCCCCGGGAAACACCCCCACCTGCTGGAAGGCCTGGTTGAACTGGCCCTGCTGCAGCAGCTGCAGCACGTTTTGCTGCTGGGCCTGGTAGTCGAGGAGGGCGGGGGGCACGGGCGTGCCGGCGGCCGAGCGCATGGCTTGCATGATGCTGGAGGTGACGGCCGCTTGCTGCTCCTTCATGGCCAGGCTCACCTCGCCCTTGACGATACGCTGCACCTGCGTCAGGATGGAGTCCTGCAGGCTGGGGGCGGGGGGCACAGCGACACAGAGCTTAGGGGAGGGTGGGCCCTGGATAACGACCCTGAAGCTCCCACAGAACCACGAGAGGCTACAGTCACGGTCCTGAGAGATGGTTCAGCGAGTCACACACAGTAGCGTACAAGTACATGGTACCCAAGACCCAAATTCACGGGAGTTAGACTCTTCCGATGCCGGCCACTTCCCATGATGCCGAGCGGTTCCGGGGTGTCTGCCTGGGAGACTCACTTTCCCACCATGATGTGCAGCTGGTGCTGGACCTCGGAGCGCACGCTGGCGGTCACGGTGGCGGCCAGCTGGTCCGTGCTGCTCTGAAGGGTGTCCACCATCTGCTGGAGCTGCCCGATCAGCGGGTCCCGCGCCTCCAACTCGCGCTGCTTCTTGTTCTTCAGGTGGCTCTCGAGCTGCTGGATGTCTGCGTGAAGGAAGAAGTCATGTGACACGGGACGGGAGACAGCAGGAACCTCTGCGGGGGGGTGGGGGTCAGAAGGCCTGATGTGCAGAGCACTTACACTCGTGGGTGCCCTGCTTGAAGCTGTCGTTAATCTGCTGGAACATGGACTGGCAGCCCTTCTCGAACACGGGCAGCACGATGCCCTGAAAGGCCTCCTTGTATGCAGCCTGGATGGGACCCTGCATGGCTTCTGCCGCCGCCTTGCCGATGGCGTCCGTGGTGTTCTGCACAGGCGTGGGGAGGAGAAGCCACACACAGAGGTGATCCTCCGGTTATGGCAAAAACCGTGACAGGCGACACAGGGAAGCTGAGGAAATTCCAGCCCCCATGTCGGCCATATTGGTGACACACTGACCTTGGACTTGACCACCTTGGTGACGTTCTCCTTCAATGCTCCTTCCACGGCGGTCAGCTTGGCGGCGATAGTGCTGTTCATCTGCCCCGTGACAGGGTCCAGGCTTTTGGAGATCGCTGGTTGTGGGGGGGGGGGAGATGGTTAAAGACCCAGCATGGCCAGCTGCGAGACAGTACAGGTGGCCGAGTAGAGGGCGACACATAGCCTCTGAGCAGCAGGAAAGCCGGGAATCGACATGGACAGAGGCGGATTATAGCATGGATCTCACTCTAAGGAGAAAATAAGTGAAGACCGTAACCAGACCATATCATTACTGCGAATTTAAGGGAAGTTATAACAATATTGGCAAGGGAAGCTGAACAGAGCTGTAAAGCAGGTGGAGGTGGAAGAAAATGCAGTGACCAACAGCATGCTTCAGTCGGCATGAGAAAGCCCACCGCTGGCAGCCGGGACTGGCACAGAGCCGACCGCTCCAAAACAACATTTGCTGATGTTCAGATTTCCCTGGGAGCGATCCTTAAAGCATCGCCAGGGCTTACATATCGCCTTACTGGACCGGCCCAGCTTGGAGGAATCACACTGACCGGAGAGACAAGCAACACCGTAGTTCACTTCCAACTCAGAGGTTCAGGGTAACAGCGGGAGGGAACCTTTAAAAGGTCTCACAGGCTAAATGCCAAAATATGACGGGCTTTGCCCTTGACATTCACCAGCAAACCAAACATTTAGCTAAAACAAGACAAAGAATAGATAATGCACTGAATGTTAAGACCTTGATGTGCGGCTGTGACAGGCGAGTTTAAAAGTAGGTGTGTATCTGTTTCGATCTCTGCCTACACAGATTGGTTTACATACTAACTGCTGTGCCCAGTACCGGCAGTTATTTAATCATTTATACCAGTGTTTCCCAATCCGGTCCTTGGGGGCCCACAGACAGTCCACGCTTTTGCTCCGTGGGAGCTGGAAGGGAGCAAAAATGTGGTCTGTCTGTCAGGGAGGTTGGAGGGAGCAAAAACATGGACTGACTGTGCGTCGCCGAGGACCGGATGGGGAAACACCGATTTATACAAACTGGATGAGAGATGACTTTCAGCATGTGTAGTACTTAAAAATCCCTTCTGAAGAAGACAGAGAACCAGCAGTGAACTCACCCTGAGGGATGCTCTTCTTCATTTCCTCCCGGAGCAGCTTGTCCATGCGGCCACAGAGAGCGGTACTCAGGTTCTGCGTTACTTGCTGGGACAGATGCTCCTGCAGTTGCCGGTTCTGCTCGCGCCCCTCTGCCATCATGCGCTCCATCCGGCGCTCTGAGGGTCGTGGGGGGGTCAAGGGTCAAACCCAGAGGTACCATAAAGTGGACCTCGCCGGCACCGTGCCTCCCACAAGCCAGAGCAACTAGCGGCTGATCGGCATGCCAGAGAGAATCATTACATACAAATAAATATCGATCTGACCACGTGTAGCTCTTGTTTTAGACTCAGCCAGACCACCCTGGCTTCCTTCTGAGGGAGAGACTCACGAAGCGCACATCCTTATCGGGAGAGATAGCAAGGCTGCGCACCCACATAATCAAAATATCAAACATCAGCACAGAACATCACCTGCATCTATAATCATCACTATGTATGGATTTACAAGCCTAGGGACCCACCCAATCTAATAATCTATAGGATTATTTTACGTCAGCTAATAAGAGAAAGATTTCACAGGCAGCTAACCTAATCCCCCCCTCTGCCCTCTGGCTACAACAGCCACACCTGAGGGCAGCGCTAACCCTAAAGATTAATACTTTTACACAAGATGACAGATTCTGCTCTTCGGGCCATTTTAGGTTAGGAGTAGCAGCTGCATAGAACATTCCTGTCACAGAGAAAAGGACGTCAGCCCTCGCCATAGATGGGACAGAGTAGCCGGTTTATGAAGTTACAAAACGTCCACATCAAATCCGGATTATAGTCGAGACGACACGCGAGAGCAGATGAGGAGACTGCCTCTCTGTGGAAGGATACGGCTCTGCTCCTGCTGGTTGATCATGGCCTGCTCCACAATCGCCAAGACGGAGCTCTGTATTGCGTCCATGCTGGCCGTCAGACGCTGCATGAGCTCCAGCTGGCTCTGCCGTAGCTCAGAGAGCTCCCTCTGCTGGCTGCGAAGCATCTGCAGCACCTCCTCCTGTGTGTCCAGGCCCATCTGCGTGGATTACACAACGAGGATGAACGCATGCGAGACCCGCAAGTTTACAGGTGTAAGACCCAAGGACCTGTTTTTACTGTTCAGTCTTGAGTACTACTGCCCTGCCAACAATGAGGAACTTACCAGCTGATCAGGCTGCCGCGACTGCAGAGATTCTCTACAGGAAGAAGAAAGAACAAAACAGCTGCAATCACTTGACAACCCAGTTAGAGTATTGCAGTGAAGGTACTTCAGGAAGAAAGAAAGCCAATATGATCTTGATTAGAACCCCCCTAGACCCCCCCTCATAAAGAACAGTTGGTATTACCCACCCATCATCTTTCCTGCACTTCTTCTTCAGTTTGGGGGATGACCGGGGGGAGACTTTCCAGTCCTTCACGGGAAGCCTGTGAGATGTCCTGGAGGCGCAGTTCCCAGACGACGATGCCAGGCTCGCCACCTCGTCGTCATGGTCACTGCACACCCAGAGGTGGGGGGGGGGGCAGGGCACATGCCAATAAGTGGAGGTGTCCATATGAACAGACCGCAGAGCATTAAGATGTGCGTGCTGACAGGTGTCAGTGACGAGCCACCAAGGATGGGTTTCTTCTTTCTGGGGGCCCCCCGGAACCCCCCCCCCCACCAAACGTATCAAAAGCGAAGCAAACAGCTAATCTGAAGATCAAAGCTAGCTGGCTGGCTGGCAGAACATGCTGCTTCAGCATCTCCTAAATAAAAAATGCGTCCATTTTGTGTAGTGACCGTTCGGAGCCGACGCCTGTTTTGTGTGACGGCAAACAGCCACCTCTGTTCGGCGCTGGCATCCTGGCTGTCGTTCAGGGGCAGGCCGTAGGAGTGTCTGTGGAAGGGTGACGTCTTGTGCTTGTCTTTCATCTCATCTCGGGAGCTGGACAAAAAAACAACAACAAATCAAACAAGCAACAGCGAGTTAACACTAGGAAGCAGGTGCCATTGGTTCACATACGACAGGAATGTTAAGCACACGTGTGTCTCTCTCACCAGTCTGCCAGGCTGTCTCGTGTCTCACGGGTGATGTCAGGGGCAGCGGGCCAGCTCACGCTGGGCTCCAATGGGCATGCGGCAGCACCCTCCTGGGACAGGGCGGCCTCTAGCAGCGAGGGGGTGGCGCTGAGCCTCTCCCCATCGGCCGTGGCCCCGCCCCCGCCCGCACCGCCGCCGCCTCCCAGGTCCAGGGAGGGCCGGCCATGCTCCGAGCCGCTGCGGTTGCGTGGGGAGAGCAGGTGCAATGCTGAGGCGGCCGACGCCATGCTGTCAGAGTGGAGGGCAGGGCTGCGCACCTCCGGTGCCAGAGGCGGCACGCCAACTCGAGGCAGGGTCTCTGAGGCGATCTCGGGGATGTCCAGGGACATGGCCGTGGACGCAGACGAGATGACGTCCGGTGAGCGCTCCCGCGTGGGGGATGCCTGGGGGACGAGGAGTGGCTCGATGGCTTGCAGGTCCAGGGACAGGGGTGGGTTAAGTGGTGCCGCCACCTGTGGGACAGAAATGGTACTGCATGCTGCACAGAAAAGGGTAACAGCCCCGTTTTGGGCATCTAAGGTGAACCTCTGTTTCCACACCATCCTCGTCACTTCACGTGTGGTCTGTTACCTGGATGTTACTGCTGTTCATCTGGTCCCCCAGACCAGGAATGAGAATGCTGCTGGAGCGGGGGCTGCTGTGGGCCGAGCCGGACGCAGAACTGGAGCCAGACCCGGAGGCAGAACCCAGGGCCAATGCACTGCTTTCCAAAGAAACCTTTGAGCTCTGGGTAAGCTCCTCGCCCGTTCTGTGGGCACCAAAAATAGGCTGTCGGACCTGCAGCCACATAGCAGCACATAACAAGCTTCCAGCAGCAGTCGGGCTTGGATCAGCCCTGGTGGGGTGGTGGGGGTATGCATGCGGACACAGGGCCAGGTCGGGGGGGGGGGACCCAGGCTGGAAGGCCTACCACATAGGAGCCCCAAAAGTTAAACCCGACTCTGTTAAACCCGATGCTAAGCCTAACGCCCCCCACCGCCCTACCCACCCACATGGGACGTACCTGCCGCTGGTGCTGGAGCTGCTCATGGCCGTTACCACCGTCAGGCTGCTGACGCTGCTCCCGGGAGAAGCTGGGATCTTGGGGGGGGGGGAAGCAGAGGGAAAGGGCAGCGGGAGAGACATCAGCACCAGGGACACCGAATACGGGGCCTTGACAAGGGGGCCCTGCTAAAAACAGCGTGACTGAGACTCACAGCCGTACGAATGCGTTAAAGCCTGCTGTTAAAGCGCTCAGCAGAGAGAGACAAAAATGCAGCTTCAGCGCAATCGCAGCAGGCAAATAGAGAGCGGGTGGGAGGGAGGGCGGAGTGGGGCGTACCGAAGCAGTGGGGGTCATGAAAGCGTCCGGCGTCATCAGCGTGGGCTTGGTGCCCTCGGAAGGCGGCAGGAAGTCAGCCGGGATGGGTAAGGAGGGGACCCGCCGCAGGTCGCCCTGCGAGGGGCGCCCCGACTCCTTATCCGACGCCGGGCCCTCCGTGTTGGTATCTGCCAGGAGCTCACAGCAGCCTGCAGAGACACCCACATGCCGCAGTTAACCCAGGGGGCCACACGGGGGCGCTATGTGAGACACAAAGCGGATACAGCGCTATGCTATGCTAACCGAAATCCTCCTGGGAGTCGGAAGGAGGCAGGAGCAGGGAGGTGCTCGGGGTGACATGGGGCTGGAACCAGATCTGCACGTCCTGGAGGCACCTGAGGGAAGGTAGAGATGCAGGCCAGTCAGATGGCTATGATACCATTGCCCCACCCCCCCAGCAGAGAGATTCTCACTTGGTATGGATGCAGTAGAGATGAATCTGCACGCCTGTTTTAGACTCAGCCAGACCACCCTGGCTTCCTTCTGAGGGAGAAAGGGGCCGTTATTACAGAGAAAACGTGCAGGGGCCTGGGGGGAACCCGGGTTCGGGTTGGGGACCGGGACCCACCAGTGGTCATGCTCTCACTGTCCTCGTCGGGGGGCAGCACCTCGCTGGGCTGCAGCCGGCAGCAGCTGACGTCCTGCAGACCGAAGCTGAGCACGGGGTGGGTGAGCAGGAACTCGGAGACAGCCGTGAAGCGGGCGCGGCCTTTCTCCTGGTTCTGCTGCACCTCCATCACATACAACACCTGGGGGCGGGGCATGGAGGGCACAGGTGAGACGCGAGCGGCCGCAAAGGAGTCCCAGCCCTGCGGCACCCTCCACCCACCTTCCGCTGCACGTCGCTGAGGACCAGGTACCCAGCAGACAGGTCCAGCGCCACCTTCAGGCTGGGCAGGACGATGGAGTTAAAGGGGTCCGGAGAAAACCTGGATGTGGGAGGCAGGAGCATTAAGATGGCAGGATGGTGGGAGAAGCTAAAACAAGCAGCGAGCAGAGACAGAACAACCCCCCCCAGTGCTCGCGGAGCCCACCTGATCGTCTGTAGACAGGTCCATGAAACCGTGCACCACATCTTCAGCTCCCGGTTCTGATCCGCACCGGTAATCAGGAAACGCCAGAAGGGAACTCTATGAAAAGGAGAAAGCGGTTTCACCAATGGGAACCCTCCGGTCGAAAAGACGCAAGGAATTATGGGTCATCAGAGGCGCCCATGTGACACTCACTCCGGATCCTGCTTCTTGTGGTTATCGCAAAACAGCAGGCAGGACAGAGGTCGGCCGTCGTGGGGTTTCCACTCGTGGAGACACCTGGTGGCAGCATGGGGGAATGCAGGGATTTATTAGCAGCCACTAATAGTCAGTCGGTAAGTCGGTAGGATGAAAGCATGTAACCTAAAGCATTTCTGAGGTCGGTACCTGGGCTGGTCTTGGCCTTCTATGTAGATCTGCCAGAATTTCAGGAAGCCATCGTGACTGGCAGTGGCCAGGACGGTGCCGTCGGGAGAAAGGACCCCTTCACTGATGCGCTAGTGAAAGAAACACATATATAAAGCTTTAGGAAAAACAGGCACAGCAACAAAATCCCTCCAACCAGGGCAGCGCAACACACCCCGCTGTGGCCCCTGACAACGATGAAGCCCTCCTTCAGGTCACTGGCATCCACTGGCCAGGAGTGCTGTGTGGACCTGAGGATATCCAGATCCCAGACCTCTGCCTGAGAGAGAGCAAGAACAAAACACAAAAAGCTGCTGTTACTGATGCTGTAAAAAATTACTTGCATTGTGTATTAGTGTAGCTAAATTACACCCTCTAGTGCAGTGGAGATGGAACTACAGTCCTACCCTGTCCTCATGGAGCAGGGCCAGCGTTTGGCAGGACTCTTCAGGGCCTTCCTCGTTCTCCTCAGGGATGAAGGGGCACCAGATCAGCCTCCGGTTCGAGCTGAGTGGCGTGTCTGCGGGTCGCCTGATGTGCACCAAAATTTCATCTCTGAGGTCAAGTTCAGGAAACTCACAGGGGCAAACGTATGCGCATGAGGAGACGAAACTGAACTACTGCACTGGCAGAAACAAAGAGAGACTGAAAGCTGATGCCCAGAGTCCTCACTGACAGCCAGCTGAAGAGCTCTGAGCCCCAATGTGCTTTGGATAAAACACGATAAGTCCATCCATCCACACATCCACCCATGACACTGCGTATCCTATTCAGGGTCACAGGAGGTCCAGGTGCAAGGCAAGGAACAACCCAGGATGGAGCGTCAACCCATCACAGACACGATAAGCCCACATGAAATTATTCATGTTACGCTGCCCCACTGCCGATAAACAGAATCCCACAAAAACACCCCAAGGGGGGACCCCAAATGCCGAAGTGAGGATACTGGATCTTGCCGGCACTGCAGGACAACTGCCAGATGAACATGTTTCCTGCCTCGTCCAGACAGGCCAGCTGGGAGGAGTCCAGGTGAGCGAAGGCCAGGTCGGCGACGGCGCCGGTGAAGCCCTTGAGCAGCGTGCGCTCCGCCGTGCACTGGGACAGCACGCGGATCATCGCGCAGTTGTTGGCACCTGATCCCATGTGAAGAGAACAACGCAGACTGCCATTTACTGATATCACAGGCATACGACTGCAAACGCGGCTCTGCCATTAAACAGAGGTGTCAGAGTGAAGAGACATTATTACTTGCGAAAAAGCAGAGACACATGATACGCGAGTTAACATATCGGTATCGGTCTGATGTGTCAAACATGGCTGATACTGTCAACCAATAACCAGACTTTAGTCAATATTCAAAGTTAGCAGCAGCAGCACCAGAGCTAAAAACATATCTACTAAAATAATGGAGATGATTGCATTGCGCAATCAGCCATTCTCCGCAGTGGAGCGAAAGGGATCATACAATGTGATTGCTACACATTCATGCATCATGTTGTACAATCTATACAAACAGCATGGTGGTACAGAGGTCTGGTCAGAAAAATACATGCATCTCACACACACACACACACACACACACACACACACAGTTTCTTAACACCTTTTAGCACATCCAGGAAAAAAGCCTGTGCCACATATACATGAACTCTTGCCATCTTACACTATTTCCAAAACCACACAGGCAGGTACCTAAAAAAAATTAAGAAATTAATCATTTCCAGTTAAGGTTGCAGTGCTGTCCTTTGGGACTGCAGCCATTCTATAGCTAGACCAGAGGGTCTCAGCCGCCCTCGACAGCTATTCCTCTGGACACATGGGAGAGTGACAACCCAGGGTAACAAATTTTCCCCAGGCTTGACAGAGCAGTTGTAAGATTACAGGGAGCATCAGTATGTCCGAACAGTCGGGCAGCAGCTGTCGGGCCTCAAAGGTAATGACTCTGTTTATATATACTTGCTGTTTATCAAACAAAGTGCCCTGTAACTCAGAGCAACTAAGTCAAGCACTTTCCTAAAGCTGTCCTGAATCTCTTTATGGCTGAACTCTCTGGATGTGGACACACTAAATTGTGTGGTCTTATATCCTATAGAAAAGAACCCAAAAATCTCCATTCTTAGTCTGACATCCATTCATCTCTCCCTGAATGAAACTCAGCTCAGCAAAACACTGATTGGTTCCCTTTAAGCAGTACAGCTAAGAGTATGTTTGGTATCTCACCTCTGATTGCATAGGCCAGGTAGGAGTTGGACACCGCTATCAGGCTGCCGTAGTAGTACTTGTGTTCCCAGTCATACTTTGCCACTGGCTTGATTTTCACCTGTGAGAGAATGACAGGCCAGGTGGGCTGGGCTGACAGGCTGTGCACCGTGTCTGAGCAACAAAGATCAGTAAAAAACACACAGACTGTCAGACCATGGTGCTATGTAGCAAAGCCACCTGATCTGAGTCTGGCTTTCCAGGTTTCAAACTAGCTAATGTGGGGACCTAAACTGGTCCATAGCTGCACAAGGCATTAGAGGTAGATGGAAACTTAGTGTTGTTAGTAACTCCTGCAGATGGTTAGCACATCAGGAAGGCCAGAACCTCATAACAGAATTTAATTTAGTTGTTCTATTTTTACCGATTTACTTACATCTTGAGTTTTCGGTTGCACCACCCAAAAACAGCACTCTCCTGCCTACCTTGTTACTGCCGCAAGCTTTGCTGTTGATGCTGGAGTTGTGACTGGCCACGATCTCCACAACGCTGGAGGAGATGGTGACACGAGTGGAGCTGTCATCCCCAGAGAGGCAGCTAGGAGGACACAGGAACCCAGATTAGACACTCGTGGATATAAGAAGGAATAGCCATTGTAAGCATTAAACCCCACATCATGCAGTCCAGCAAGTGCTAATAAGGGGAGCCTGAAGACAGTGCTCTCTGATTGTCGATGCTAATTCTAGCTGAGGATAAGCATTTATTTCCAAGTCTTTTCAATACTCTATTACACAGGATCATAACTGAATCAATTGTAATTATTACCATGTGTGTGAATATCACGTTATGAAAACAGAACTTTCTACCAACACATACAGCATTTCCTAAGCTACACGAAAATTATAACGTAACTGGATAATAATGTCAGGACTTCAGAATATCACGTTCTTGTGCCACTGAAAATATTCCAATCGATGCAGCTTATCAAAGGATGAGACTACTGTAGCGAGTACAACAGAAGTGCCATTAAATTCCACATAAATGACCTGCCCTCCTTCTTTAGGCACATAGTTTCATAGTCCTCACATGATCTGCGGGTCCTGACAGCTCATGTTCTCCGCTTTCCCGGCGCCGGCTTCGGCCGCCGGTTCCCGGTCCGCAACGCCTATGAGGCCCGACCCGAACAAGCCATTGAGCTCCCCGTTGAAAGCGGTCTTAGTTTGATTCTCGGTGGAAGACGGTTCTGGGGATGAAAAAAACGGTCGAACTGAACTCGAACAGCAAATTCAGACATTAAAATATAATATATACATAGGTTATTACGATAAACAAACGTTTGCCTGTAACTAACCTCATACAGAAGCGACTTTAACCTACCACTTTGGTAAGGTTAGTTAATATTCTCCGAATTAGCGTACAATATAGACAATAAAGTCACCATTATTCCTGGTGATTTAAAACAAAAAAATCTCAACATAGAAAGCCTTAAGCCTCTGATTTCAAAGCGCATAACATTTATTTTGTCATTAATAAAAGTTTGCCGGAGTGACTGCATAGCGTGACACGCCTTCGTAGGTCTCCCAGCGGAGTTAGACTGGAGCGGCAGCCACCTCCGTCCCAGGACTTAAAATCCATGATTTCGTTTTGCTTTACGATGTTTGTCAAATTGCCCGCTCGCACAGAGCAGAGCGGTCATTAGCACGAAGCCCCGTGTATCTCAGTGCTTCATAACCCAGGGGGGTCCCGCTCCATAGCCGGCTAGCTTAGCATCTTTGTGTCGTCCGTTAGTGAGACGGCGGGGTCCACCGGTGCTGCCATTTCGTTAAAACTATGCCGCTTTAACCAACTACACACTGAACATGCTGAAAATGGGTCATTACTCACTTCGTAAACACAGAGACTAATAAATTAGCATTTTTCTCTTTCTAGTTACATAAACTGAAAGTATTAAGGTGTTCACTCCTGGGAACATCAGTTTCCTTACGCCGCGGCCTAAAAGGACTCCGGTTAACGAGGCTAGCAGGCTAACTGGCTAACTGCGACTTCATTTCCCGGTTCTCACCGGCGTTATTCTCGGGTCGGTCCAACTTCAAAATATCCCGAAGATGCTGCGTCGCGTCTTCTATATCGATATTTGAGTTGGAAGCCATAAGGGAGGAAAAGGGGGGACCAGGTCCGTAGAAGGGGAATAACTGCCGCCTAAAAGCCTATGATGCCAATTTTCACTCGCCTCAACTTTCGTAGCGCTGCATGAAGCCAGCGAGCCTCTGCGATTCCGCCTGGTGCTCCTTCAAAATGCAACCGCCCTCTGTCGGAAACCCGGAGCTCATCTAAAAGTTCCGAATGATGCTCCAATAGTTTCTGTCCAAAATTCACACGCCGGGTTAAGTTTTCCGCTTGAAAATTAATAAACTTGGATAAAAATTATTGACGAAACACCAGGATAACCATTCTAAAGAACGTTACCGGGTCACATTTACTTCGAGTGTAGCTGAAGTCCAGCTAGTCAACTTTACTAGATTCCCAAAATTATTATAGGAATGGCAGTTTATGTTTTGATAAATATGAAACGAATCAAACTTGGAAATATTTCGGAATCCAAACACCATTTTTAAATACATACTTACTATTTTATTCCATTATGCAAGATAACAGAAAATTTCGATGCCTTAAACATCTGTTCTGCGCAGCTGAATAAGGAGATTACTTCATCCACTCTCCAAAACAGGCTTTCATATTTTTAATCACCATAAATCAATCATTCTCCTTCGACATTTTCCCCTTATTTTAGCGCTTCAAAATGGACGCAGGTCTAAAAATGTGTCAAACTACATTTGACTCTGCATAAGGCAGTTTTGTTTATCCAAAATAAGTACAATCTAAATAATTAAAAAAAACATTTTATTTATTTAGCAGACATACATTTTCTTTTTTAGAAAGCATGGTCAGATTATTTGTGGAGAAATTGGGTGTTAAGGTCTTTGCTCAAGGGCCCAACAGTAAAATCTCTATGCCAACCCTGGGATTTGATTTTAGGCACAGCCTTTTAACCCACTGAGTCACACACTGTCCCTGAAAAAGAAGCTAATACAAAGGAGTGCTGATCCTTCAGGGATGCAAGCCTTTATCACAGCAAAACTCGTCCGGCACCTGCGCTAAATTGATACAATGTTTATCTGCTTGATTACATATTGCTGCAGGAGACCAACTCACAAATCTCACTGAAAACTAAATCAAACCTGGCTATGACTGGCAGACTTAGTAGCTTTGTTCCCAGTATTGCCCTTGGAAACAGCTGAACATATCAGGATTTTTAGGCACCAGGTTTTGTATTCCAGGCCCATGTCAGTAGCACACCTTCCTGCTTTTGCGGCCTAAAAGGCACAACAGAGCAGCATACCACTGACACATGTACATTCATACACACAATATGTTTTAACAGATTCACAAAAAAAAAAGAACAGACAAAAACAAGCTGACAAAACCTGACAAAGACAGAAAAGAGGTTGGAGGAATAACACAGATTCCAAGATTAAGAAAAAAAGTCACGGTTTATTGCGTCGTGGCTTCAGACGTCATCCTGGCAGAGGAGGGGGGGGGGGTGAGGGCAGGAAGGTGGAGTCAGCAGGGAGCAGAGTGGGTTTAGACATGGTTTGGTTCTTTGGATCGCTAGAGCAACCAATGAAGCGCATTAAAAAATTATAGCTTCTTATTTCAATAAAACAGTAAGTACGATGACTAAGGCATGCTGGCAACATCACACTGAACTATCGGGGAAACAAGGATTAGGAAAAATACAGGAATATAATTAAAATACAAAATATTGTGAAGGTAGGAGAGTTTTGTTTCCCTTGGCATCTCCCAGATCCCAGATGCAGGTGTTGGAGCATCCCAACAGCATGCAGGACAGTGCGGCGCAGCAGGTGAGGCTCATTACCGCGGAATCACCACGGCGACGCGGCTATGGAGCGCATCAGTCTGTACTACACAGCACGGCGGCTTCGCAGCCCAATCCCGGCCGCCGGATTCAGTGCCACCGTGAACGGTGCTCATTTGGGATCCCGGTGTAGGAGCAGAACAATTCTTGGAGAGGCGTGGATGGATTGGGGGGGGGGGCACTGCCACAAAGGCAACCAGATGTCAGAGGTGGAGGTGGGAGGGGGTCATGGCAGGACAGGTTGGGGTGGGGCAAGACAAGGTGGGGCGGGGCGGGCAGAGGGTGAATGGCTGGGAGCCCCCGTCCACACACCCTTGTCGCGTGTGCAGCCTCCCACGTTTAGCCAAAATTGTGTAGTGCCAGCCGGAACATATCATTGGTACACACCCAGGCATCGTTAATGTTCTTCAGGAGGAACACTTGGTGGAACCCCATGATAGGGTCCTCGTCGGCCTGCACAAACAGAGGCTGGACAGTTACTCCCTGATCAAGCTCGCATTAAGACAGGAGAACACACTGGTAAACTCTCATCCACCTGGCGTTATCCACACACTCACATATAATCCCAACATATCTGTCAGTCCACTGAAGTTATCTGCATTAAGTTCAAATATTAAAATGCATGCTCTCTCTACATGTGTATACAAAGACCAACAGTTTTGCACAGATACATTTTTCAATAAATTATGCATGTTCCAATACTGACAATCAACCAGACCTCTCACCTTTAGCTGTCCTACAACCATACTTAGTATACAGCTGTCAGGTGTAGGCTGATGGTCCTGTGCCGTTATGCTGTGAGCGATTTTTGTAAAGGGGAGGCTCTTCAAAAACAAGAAGGGGCGGTAGAGAAAATTAGTGGGACAGATGTCCAGATGGCAGCCCTCCCCCCATTTCATGTCGTCTGCAGGGTTAAGCTGACTTACTGACAGTTTCTCGACTATCGCTGCTTTTCCCTGGAATTGCTGTCCTTCCCACGTAAGGCATGATGCATCAATCTGGAACAGAGGAGTGAGGGGTTTAGGGGGAGGAGCCAACCTGATCCAGACCCACAGCCTGAGATAATGAGCCACAGAGCAGCAGGCGTTAGAGGAAACATCAAGAAGCCTCGTCACGTGTCTCGTCAGCTTTCACTCTGGTCTGGAGGAGCAGCTTCAGAGGCTCAATATCTTCTCATGCCATAAAGCTGCTCTCCTGCTGTCTTTGTCAGCATGGGCTCCATCATGTCCAGATCCTTGGGGAGCTCTTGAGCCCCCGCTGCATGTTTTAGCAGACAGGACACGTGCGCCATATGGGCCTCAGCATGCCCACTGGCTCACTGTCTGCTCACTGGGGAATCGCATAAGAGCAACCTGCTCACTGTAGCTCTGACTCATCAAGGCTGGGGAATCGCTTAAAAGCAGCCTGCTCACTGTAGCTCTGACTCATCAAGGCTGGGGAATCGCTTAAGAGCAGCATGTGCCCTTGGACTTGTTGAAAGTGCCATTGTATTTGAGTCAGAAAATTCAAAAAAGTTCTCTGGATTAAGAATGTTTGTCAACGTGCTGCATCCTTGCAACTTGGTAAAACAACCCTTCTGAGAATGTAGGGTTTGGTCAAGGTGTTTGGCTACAGTCGCCCTCTTTACTTCCAGCATCTGGCCTCAAAGGTGGGAGAGACGCTGCTTCTGACAATGAGAGGTGGCAGCAGCCTTAAGGAAAGCCAGAACTCACGTATATTGCTCCCAGCTGGGTCCGGTCTGTGTCAAACAGCTGGTAATAGTGCTGCACAAAGCTGGATCCAATCTGCTCCCAGATCGGTTTGTCGCCCATCCTGATTCACCCAGCTCAGGCTCTGTGGAGGGAGGCAGCGCTCAGGCACACACACACACACACAGTGTATATATTCCTATCATTGTGGGGACTATCCATTCAATTCTATGTACATAACCCTAATCCTAACAATGACAACCCTAACCCCTACCCAGCCCTAACCTTAACCATAAGTAATCAAACAAAATAGTTTTTTTTGATTGCATTCACAGATTTTTATAAACATATTGTGGGGCTCTGAAAAATATCCCCACAAGCTAAAAAGCGACAGGTTTTGCCACATTGTGGGGACATCTGATCCAAACCCACACGCAGGAATTCACACCACAGGTGAATTTTCATCACAGCATTACAGCACGGCAGCACAGGTCGAATGAAATCTTTCAGGTAGCTTATTTACTGTTCACTCCTTCTTATACTGCCATATGCCACAGAATAATGTCTGGAAAGTATGTCACTGTATTGCACTGCTGTTTGTCCCACTGGCCTGTTGTGCACCCGGCCCTCCCCTGCCACTGTGGCATAAGAATTTCACGATGATCCTCCAAACACCCGTGACAATAAAACTTGAGATCGAACATGCCCAAGCAGAAACCCCATCACGGTCTTCCCCCAGCACGGAGGGCTATAAGACATTTTTACGATTCAGAGTCACCGAGCAGCCAGGTATCAACAAACAGCCTGGACTCCGAAATGCCTCGGGACTTAACCTGATAGTCTCAGCACCCCTCTAACGGGGACCACGCACGGCCCCACCCCGTCCTGCAGATCTCTGTTTGACCACTGGCATCCAGTCTGCAAGGGCCACATTCCAGGGTGTGGCAGAGCCCCATCCAGTTACACAAAGCCCGGCAAAAGACAGCAGGTCTTAAAATCAAGGGGCTTCACACCGCGAGTCAGGATGGGATCCTATTCATTCCATCCATCCCCACACAACTGACGGCAAAAATGGTTCCTGGTTAAAGTCCCACAGGAGACTCAGAGTTAGCCTAACAGTTAACTGTGTGACAGCAATCTGAACTGCCTCAGTGACTATTTAATTAAACAGCTGGATGAGCGTACAGTGTTTATTAAACAGGCACTTTGTATGCCAGGATCGACTGTGCAAATAGAAATGCAGCAAGCGAATCAAAAAATATAAAAGAATAGAAACCCACTTCAACTCCCCCGCACCCCCGCACCGACCACCCCCCACCCCCTCAACACACCAGCCATGAGGCTGTAACACAGACCTGCATCCTTTTAGAGGTGAAAGTGCCATACAAACTACAGGGCCCAGAACTCCTGAAAGAAAGGCAGCCCCCCCTCCCACACAGCCTCATGAAAACCCACGCGCTCCTGAACAGCTCCCCCCCCAGGGGCCCAAATAAGCATGAGAGAGGCACACTGGCAGACATGCTGGACGCCCTGGTATCTCACCCTGAGAGAGGCATAAGCGCTGGGGGGGGGGGCCCCTTCTAGGTGACTTCACATGCATCGCAGC